TATTAAATATACTAAAATATACTAAATAACTATACTAATAAAATAAATACAAATAAGAATAAAATAAAATAAAAAAAATTATGAAAGTGGAGGAAACCCATGGTAACAACGTAATGAAAATTTCCGGCAGAATTACGAAAATTTACAGAAAATTTACACCGAATTTTTCACGGACGTTCAAAATTTAAACGTGAATATCTCCGCGGATATCGATGTTACAGAAATAATTTACATATAATCTTGTAGCCAAGAACCAGGGCTTTTGATCTGTCATAGAAACACCTTAGTAGAAAATCACTTCCTGTCTCGTAAATTGCAACCAAAGTCAAAAAAATTGAATTTTTGGATGTAAATTTCTGTGGGTCCCATTTTTATTACGGAAATTTATGCCCCAAAAAATTTCCTGATGCAAACATGCGAAAAAAAAAAATGCATAACTTTATTATTTTTATTAACATTAGAGCTAGAAGGCCATTAAAAATACAAAATCAATAAAAAATATAACATGTAACAAAAATTTTTATACTTGTTACTATCTATATTTACGCTATGTGAACATCTGTAATGGTGAATTTTCATAATCATCATTAAATTGTTTGATAAGTTGATCTACTTGTGGTTGTTCATCTAATCTATACCAATTTCTTAACATTCTTAAACTTTTGTATATATTCATATTAAATAATTCCTGTCTTGATATGTCATTAACAATGTCTTCTATTCTGTCTTCTTCATTACCAACTTCAGGTATGCATTCGAAAAACTTTGTTCTCTTTTGAAGAGGTGAAGATAAGTCTACTTCTACTTATACGTGTTGTCCAAATCCCAAATCATTTGGGATTTGGGACGCCAAAATCCCAAATTACTAGTATTTGGGATTTGGGATTTGGGATTTTGGCAAAAAATACTAATCATAATTTGGGATTTGGGATTTGGGATTTTGGCATTTGGGATTTCGGCATTTGGATTTTGAATTTGGGTGGCAGGTATACTTCTACTTGATAACTGGTGTCCTTTTCTAACCAATTGAAAAGCTTATTTCCTTCTACAATTACCAACTGTTTAATTATCACCAAGACAATACCACGGTCATTAATTTCAGCCTTTACTATGTATTTTTCACTATTTCTTATTATCATAAAAAAGAAAATATTCCAACAATCATTGTAATCAGTTAAGACGGTCATCGAATTTATTGAATGTTCCTTATCTATTAAGAATAACTCTCCCATGGCTTGACCTTCTTTAAGATTCTCTTCTCTTTTCTTAGTTTCAATCCAGACACAATTCATTTTATTAAGTCCAATGGATATTTCGGTGTCACTTGTAATAGTGACATTTGTTTCTCGCAAATTTTGTTGATGGGTTACTTGTGTATGAATATCTTTCACATGGTAATTCCTTGATAACTTTAGTACATTTTTAAACCATGTTATAACATTAGTCATCTACTGAACTTCTTCCTTTTCTATATTCCATATAAACGGTTCATATGAAATAGGTTGAAGTGGTTGGAAGTCTTCCTCTGATAACTAGACAATAGATAAGTAATAAGTGATAGGAGACATTAAATAATATGGAAAAAAAAGTACTCATTTCTACAATACTTATTCAAAGATCATTCAAGATCTTATTAGCCTTAACATTAGAAAGGTTGGATACTGAGATATGATCAGCAGGCTTTTGTTAAAAGAATTCTTTCTGAATTGTACTTTTTATGACACTCAAAAATTCTGGTAATTCTTCATATTTATATTTTGATATCACTTGTAGTAAAAAGAAAAATCTAAAGTTAGTTAATATCGTAAAAACGTGTTAACTGTTAATCATCATTTCTTTCCAATAAACTTGAATACATACCAGATGTACTTACGATGACTTGTAGAGGAGTATTATAAGTAATTATTAAACTTTCATTAACAGTTAAATTCACATGTAATTCTTCTTTTTCACTGTGTCTTGTTAAAGTAATCTGATTAACATTAACATTACTTAACTGATTTGACAATTTATTTTTGATCACTCTTTTTAAGTCATATATATCTTCTGATAAGAACATTGATAGCAGTTCAGCATCAGTAGAATTTATTTGGGAGAAATATAATAAAATTGAACTAATAGAAAAAAGTACAATGCATAAATTTAGAATGTAGATAAATTTAGGATGCAAATATGATATTAATTATAATTATAGATATAATCATTATATCTGATGGGGTTTTGGTTATCAGTTCCTGAGGTTATACTTAGGCAACGATGAGTTGGACCATAAAATTTTATTTTTAGTCAGTTTCAATAAATGTAAAATAAATTATCTGTATCTTTAAAATTTACACTTAATCTATTAATAAAGTTTATTGGAGCAAGACTCCGTTGGATATAAAAAAAAAAAAAATATGACTGAAAATTTTACAAAAGATGCTCTATCTATAAGGCTTTAAGGTTACTTAGTACACGTTTATTGTTTTATTAATAAATAATAAAGTTATGGACGTATGAATTATCAATAATCATTTTTTATTTTAATCTTTATTTTTATTAAATTTTAAATGTTTTAATTCACGTCTAAGTAATATCAAACTTTTCACTAGATACTATAAAAAGTTTCTCTAATTAAAGTAATAGATATTATTTCAGGCTACAATTTCATATAAGATAGATGGCATCTGTTTATAATATCTATCGAATGCAGTATAGATAAAGATCAAAGATTGAATTTATTATTTTTTGTCAATTTCATTTAAAGTGTAATTTCTCTATGTGCAAACAGTCAATTTTAAAACAAAATATATCATATGATAGCTCTAGTTTAGAAAAATCTAATAAAAAAAAGTTTGCGCAATTTAAATAACCCGTTGGAGCACTATTGGCATTTTAGTTTTAGTAAAATTTTTAAAAATTTTCAGGTGGTTGGATACATTTGACAGGGAGTGTAGATTATTAATGTGGAAAAAAGCAATAGGCAAAGAAACAAGATATAATATCAATTATGTGTTGTTTCCAGCAATAGAATATTTGTTAAATGACATTATTATATCAAGAAAACAATGTAATCATTCAAATTCAATGTGCCTTAAGGTTCTTAAACACAAGGCAAGGTTTGCACAAACAGCAATCTACAGTATATTTCATTTACCAGAAGGATACAAATTATTTGATATTTATGATCGCCAGTTACAATTACATATTAAAAACCTATCAGATCATTTAAACAAGAAGGACAATTTAAGAAATTCTACTATAATTCATTTACAAAAGTTTCAAAATTATTTATGGAATGATAAAGAGTTTATGGAAATGATAGATGTTATTAAAATAAAAGACCATTTTAACTTAACAGCATCAATAATAAACCTTGCAAAAGAAATAAATATAACATGGCAAATAACAAAAACAGGAATATATAATCTTAAATTCCATTTAGAGGAAAAATCTTAATAGAAGATATATGAGCTAAAAATAAATGACAATATGAAAAATACAAAAAAAGGCTTTGAGAAAAAAGAATCTTATATTTAGAACAGATTATAGATATGGACTTTAAAAATATACTTGAATGGTCACACATACAAGCTAAATATACAAAAAGAAAGGGAAGAATTCTGGAATGATGCATTCATATTAAAGAAAATGAACAAGAAATAATAAAGTTATATGGAAAAAAACTAGTTTAGAATATAAAAATAAAATAAAATCCTTTTGTCAGACTAACTAAAGAATACAAATTATCAAAATCCAAATGGATAGCAAGCAAAAATAATGAACAAACAATAATAGGAAAAGAATTAAAGAAAAAATAATAGCAAAAAGGAGAAAGTAAAATATATTAGTCATCACAATATTTTACAAGGAGACATGGAACCTACATCTATTTTAGTTCCATGTGAAGGTTGTTCACAAAATACAGGAAAAGGAAATTATTGTGCCATTCATATGGAAGAAGGAAAAGAAAAGGAATTTAAAATACCAGTAGCATATTCAAAAGTGTCAACATCTGGATCTAAAACAGATCAATATAAAAACTAATTAAGAATGTTATATAATAGTATAAAAAAAGCTATAGAAATTATTGACTCAAAATAAAATAAAATAAATGAAGAAGACACAGAAGATGAAGAGGAAGGGAAAAAAGAAATAAGAGAACAATATAATAATAACATTATTTATAAATGGATAGTTGAGGAGGCTACAATTTATGAAAAACTTAAAAAGATTCAAAGGAAAGTCAAAGATAAGAAAATTATCAAAGTTTTACAGATGGATCTTTAGAAGATCACAAGATGGAATTAGGATGGATAATTCAGGATCAGGAAGGGGATAATCACACTAAATTTAGATTTAATAATGAATTCTTTCCATCATCAACATGTGCAGAATTAGCAGCAATACTAACAACCCTATTAGTAATGCCAAAAGAAGTGACAGTACAAATATACACAGATAGTATGAATGCATATATAGTTTAAACAAAATAATTAAAAAGGAAAAGATTTCATATGAAAAAATGCTTAAAATCCTATAATTTTACAGCTAATAGATGAAATAATAAATGAACTAAATTTAAAGATACATTTACACAAGGTAGAAGCACAGCATATACAGGAAATTTTTTTAATGAAATGGCAGATTTTTTAGTAAAGATTCCATTGACACAGAAGGATCAAGAGATAATCAAAATTAATTACAAAAATATAAATGACAGATCACATATCCCAATTTGGAACAACATACCTATGGAGATACCAGTGAATCTAATAGTAAAGAAATACAATGTGATCAAGAAAAGACAGAAATGGAAGTCACAAAATAGTTTTAAGAAATTCTTGTGGACCAGGAAAAGACACAAAAAATAGATTGGAGTACAACTTTTAAAACATTACATCCAAGTAAAATAACAAATGATAAAACAAGCAGAGATGATCAAATGAAAAGAGGCTTTGCAATGAAACTCTTAAATGAAGAACTACCAGTAATGACTAGAAGATTTCAGCACCAACCTCATATATATAAAGATCATAAATGTGTATTATGTGGAAGATATGAAGAGAATAATTTGCATGTATTTGAACACAAAAGAAACAATGATAATTCTGAATATAAGCCAATGGTGGAACATTATGAAAAATTAATTGAATATTTAACAGATAAAACTTATAAGAAGGCCAAAATCATAAGTAAAGAAACAATAAATACAATGTTGAGATCTATAAGTGAACTATATTTGTGGAATATAGATGATCAGGATCAAAGAACATTTCATTATGTGAACTTATATGATATAAATAGGGGACTTATACCACATTCTTTAATTAATAAGATAGCTAAAATGCTCAAAAGCAAGATAAAGGCCAGGGAGGCAGTAATTGAGGGAATTGTTAAATTTAAAGAGTATTTACGAGAATTTTGGAAGGAAAGATGTGAAAGGGTAATTGAATGGGAATTACAAAACAATATTACAAATAAAATTTAAAAAAGAAAAAATAAAGTCAATAATAAGAATGATGGCAATAGTGATAATATAGATATTGAAGGAAATAACATAGATACATAATTAAATGAAGAAATAAATAGAAACAGAGACAACCAAAAAATGATAAGAAAAGAAAAGAAGGAAATTGAAGAAGAAACAAAAAAAATAATAGAAAAATATACAGAGCATAATTTAGAAACATGGATCATGTATGGAAGTTATTATAATATTAACTATTGTTATAGATACCACCATTTTATCTGATGAAGTTTTGACCATCAGTTCTCAGGTTTAGCCTGGGCAACAATGGGTCAGATGGAAATAGAAATATTTTAGTCAGTTTCAATTAACATGCAATATATAAAATGTAAAAATTTACAGATTTGATATTAATAAAGTTTATTGGAGCAAGACTCCATTGGTATTAAAAAAAAAGAAAAGTAGGATAACAATTCCTCTCATGATCTCGATATTATTGACAAGTTCACTAAGTTTATTTTCATATTGAAGTAATTTCTGATATTCTGAAAATCTCATATATGAGATAATCTTAAAAGTTAAAGTTTGTTGCATTAGTCAAATACAAAAGAATCACTGTACTGAATAGTAATTCCTATACTATAGATCAGCTAAAAATTGGTAATGATTACTGTCCTATTGCATCCAATATTATAGATCAGCAAAAATTGGAATTCCTTTTCAGTACAGCATATCTTTTGTATCTGACCTGTGTTGATAACACAAAAAATATTTATATTTCTGATGTTCTATTTTTATAATGTCAAGACACTGACAACTTGAACTGGATTTATAATTTGTTTTATCAGATTTAAATACTATTAATTATTTTATGATTGCATTATTATTTTCTCAATAAGTATTATATAGTTATTATAAATATTCACTGGTCAAAATAAATCCATTTCAGCTAAATTTTGGATGGTGGGTTTTCAGCTGAAAGGTGACTGAAAGTTAACTAAAAGCCTACCATATTTTTTTTTGCTGAAAGCTTTCTGTTTGTGTGATGAATGACATCCGTTAATCTCAATTTGGCACCATCTTTTGGCATTTTGGCAGACAATCAGAAAGAAAATTCAGTCAAAATTCTGATGAAAATCAGAAATAAATATCTCAAAATTGGTAAATAAATTCTGATAAAAATTAGAAACAAATATCCAAAATCGGAAAGAAAATGGTAAGCAAATTCAAATGACAATCAGAAACAAATATGCAAAATTGGAAATAAATTTAGACAAAATTTTGATGACAATCGTTAAGATTCTGAAACAAATACCATATGCCAAAATTTATTAAATAATAATGAACCAAATTTGTATATAAAATATCCTATGATTATTTGCTGAATTGTATCATATTCACCAATATTCTTACTACTGAAATTTGCCAAATTTTATAATATTCCTAAAATATTCCAATATCACAAATACAAATATATATATACTTGTAAATATGCTGAATTGAATTATGTTACTATTATAATATTGCAGAATTGTCATCAATATCAATATGAAATATTTAAATATTAACATATATACCACAAATATGCTTGCTAAAAGATTGCTGAATTGTATCATGTTCATTAATATTCCTATTAAAATATTGTATCATGTCCATCAATATACCTATCAAAATTTCATATATCCATAAATAGACTTACTTAAATATTGTAGAATTGTATCATATTCATCAATATTCCTATCAAATATTGCTGAATTGTCATTAATATATTAATATATGTCAAAATATCACAATATTACAAATATATCCACAAATATACTTACTGAAATATTGCTGAATTGTACCTATTCATCAATATTCCTATCAAAATATTATTGAATATTCATAAATGTTTTATTCAAAATATTCCAATATTATAATTATATACTTGATAAATTATCACTGAATTGTATCATAGTCAGCAATATTCTGATTAAATATACTTGCCAAATTAGCATCAAATATATTCAAATATTAATATACATGAAATATCCTGATATTACAAATATACTTGTCAAAATATTACTGAATTGTAATATTTCTATCAATACAGCTGAATTGTGTCATATTATATTCATTAATATACCCATCAAAATATTGATGAAAAGTTATCAATATATAGACAAATATTCAAATATTAAAAAATATATCCATAAATATACTTGCCAAAATATTGCTGAATTGTACATATTAATCAATATTCCTATCAAAATATTACTGAATATTTCAATATTGCAATATCCACAAATATACTTGCTGAAATGTTGCTGAAATATAGCTTAATTAAGCTGAAACAAAAAATGATCGAAATATCAATATAATAATGCTAATTTCTTCCAAAAATCTTATTGATTGAATAGCAATAGTAATATTGGCACCTTTTCTTGAAGTTTTAGTCGATTCTGGTTTAATATGTGTAGAAATAGATGGAAGGAGATATATTTATTGGATTTTCTTTCTTAAAATATAATAACATGAGAGATAGGAAAAGTTATGAGATAAAATATGAAAAGAAAAAGAAAAAAGAAAAAAATAAAGAAAAAAATATAGAGAAAGAAAACAAAAAAGAAAAAGAAAGAAAAATAAATTTAAAAAAATAAATTTAGAAAAAAAAGAAAACAAGAAAATAAAGTATTTTCGAAATTGCAAAAAATAGATAAAAGTATAAAAGTATAATTTTAAGCTTTCCTTTAAACTTTAAAAGTATTTCTTTAAAAAATTTATTGATTTTTCGTGTCCAAAAAATTTTGAAAATATGTTGAAAATAATTTAATTTTTTTTAATGAATTATATAATAAAATGGAATATAATATTTAATTTATAATAATAAAATGGAATATAACATTTAATTTATAAATACATAATAAATCAAATAAAAATGGCCTAAATGCTAAATATCTGAAATTTCATCTTTCAGATATTTAAGATTATTAATATTCTGCATATTTTGGCTAATTTATGGCAATAAATTTCTAAGATAGATGAAAATAATACTGCTAAAATAATAATTTTCTATAACAAAAATATGACAAATTTCATCTAAAATTCAGTATTCTGAATTTAGGATGAATTTTATTTATAATAGTGCAAATTCTGCTTAAAATAGTAGAAAATGGTTGAATTAAAAAAATATATGACTGATTTTTAACCTTCAGCAAACATCCAGTGCTTCTGAATTTTTGCTGAATTTCATTAATATCAAATATCATATTTTGGTTTAAACTTAAAGCTAAATTTAAGCTGATTTTTAAGTTTTGGCTGAAATTTATTGACAGCTGAGAGATATTTTGACAACAAAACAGCATATCAAAATATTGTATTAAATTTCATATTTCCGAATTTTGGCTGAATTTATAACCAGCTTAATTTAGGCCAAAAATATTATATAATATTTCGGCTGTTTATAAATTCAGCCAAAATTCGAGAATTCTGAAATTTATTAACAACTGAGGGATATCGAAATATATTAAATTTCAGCCAAAATTCAGAATTTCCGAATTTTGGCTGAATTTATAAACAGTCGAAATATTATATAATATTTTTGACCTAAATTATAAATTCAGCTAAAATTCGGAAATTCTGAAATTTATTGACAGCTGAAGGATAGAAATATTATATCAAAATTTCAGCACAAATTATGAATTTCTAAATTTCGGCTGTATTTAGACCAAAAATATTATATAATATTTCGGCCTAAATTTGGGAATTCTTAAATGGGCATTTCGGCAACAATTCAACATATCAAAATATTGTATTAAATTCAGCACTAATTCGGAAATCCCGGATGTTGTCGGAACTTAACTTAAAGTTGAATTTAAGTTGATTTTTAAGTTTCGGCCAAAATTTGGAATTTCCGAATTTTGGCTGAATTTTATTGATAGCCGAATTTAGGCCAAATTTTTTTGTCAATTAGCCGAAAGTTGGCCAAATTTTGTGATTTCCGAAAGGCCTCATTTCGACTAGTGATCGTCAATTAATTTACTTTGGTATTTCCTTATGTACATAAATGGACGAATTATGAAGATTTGCTTCGAAAACCAATAGTGATAATCATAAAGAGAATAATAATCAGCAAACAACCTGAAGATGAGATGATAGAAAATGAACTGAATATGAATAAGATTAAAGACATCTGAAGCTAAAAATCAATTACAAAATTTAAAAGAATATTACAATAACAAAAAGGAACGTATTAAAGCTTATCATCACTTAAAAATTTAAAGAAATCTCGGATTAACCAAATTTGATTATAGAGAAACAGATAATAAAAATTATTATTATTTTTCATGGCGTCAAAGAACACTAAAGCTAGTTTCGAAGCAACAGCAACGCCAACATCAAAAATACAGAATACACCACCATTTAGATATATTTATCAATTAAATAACTATATGATGAAGTGTCTTCATCAATAATTCCAACGACAACAACAACCAAAATTTCCAACACCGAACCGATAATATAACATCTAGTAATAATAACGGAAGACTATAATTTCATCATCAACACCATCATACGATCATCATCATTGATAATTACTTCAGAGGCATCATTATTATATAGATTGTTATATAGGTTACGTAATAATGATGGATGATATAATAAATTATTGCTACTTTTAATAATAAAATTATCATTGCTATATATACTGAAATTATGAAATTTGCGTTGAAAATCATTAATTATAGCAATAATAATAATAATTGGCGACAACAGAAAGATAAGATGATGAAGGAAATGTAACTGAAATGAATAAGATTAACGCCACCAAAAAATATACTGAAATCAATTTTACTTAAATCTTCAGTTGAGTGACATGAAAAGATTCAATTATTGATAGAGATTTAGGCAATATTTTAAGATTTTATTCGTTTTTATCTTATTTTTTATTTTATATTATTATTTATTAAAAATTCAAAAGACAAAAGCGCAACAACTTCCATCCTTTGATCCATTATCGACGTTACAATCTAAATTGTTTCAATTACTTGGACAAATTGATTCCTTGAATGTAGAATTTGATAAGAGGGTTACGCGTTCAAAGAAGATAATTATTAATTTAATTATTAATTTTAAACTTGGATATTAAGGAAATGTGAATAATGCTTAAATACAATCTTTTTATTCGGTCAATTCGATCAATTTGATACTCTTCTTTATATAATGATAATTTAAAAAATAGAAATACAATTGATATTGAACCCTATTATTTAACTTAAGTAGGACATGGTAAAATTTTATTATTATTTCAACTAAATAAAATAAGAGTAATCTGAAAATTAATTTATTTTTAGAATTCACATCATTCATCATCACAATGAATGAGAGTAATAATAATATTAAAATTTATTAATTCAACGAATTCAGGTGGATAACGGATAACAATAATAATAATAATTCAATAATGAAGAAGTTCATCTTCGATAATTCCAATGACAAAAACAATAAACAAATTCTCAACGTCATTAATAATACCTCCAATGATAGCAACACCACCAACACCTCAAAACAATTATCACCAACATTACCGAAACAAACCAACGACAAAAAACAGTAATAAATAATAATCCATATTATTATTATCAAATGCATAGTATTCAATTATGTAGTTAGGAACGTAAACTATAATTACAATTATTATCACATCGTCATAATAATTATTAATAATAATTTCAGAGGAATTTTTCTAATGACGACGTATTAATTATTGTCATTTTTAATAATAATATTATTATGATAATTTTGATATTTACTTAGAATCGTGAATATAACACGTACATAAATGTCTGGATGGAAGAAAAGGACATTTAATAGTAAGTTTTTTAAATCCAGCGATTCCAGCCTGTTACGAAGAGCATACTTTCGGAAATTGATGATTAAATTTTAAGTATTTGGTCCACCAAGATTGTTGCTAATACTTTGTGCATTTTGTACGGATCGTATCTTCAAAATCAGGTATAAAAACGTAAGCTCAGTATTCTTTTGAAGGAGTGAGGAAGATCGTTTCTGAACTCATCTTTACTAGAAGGGAACTTGTGCTGTTTCTTTTTCGAAGTTGAATTAATTCTTATTAAATATATCTAGACGATTTCTATTTTCTGTTTATTCATATTATTATTGTCATTATTGTTGCTTTTGCTCTTGTTATTATTGATGACATTATTAAATAGTATTATTAGAGTAGTTACTGTATTTGTGTTGTTGATATTATTGATATTATTATTAAAAACGAGAATAAAGATATGCGCGCTGCTTTCTAACTCATTATTATAATTATCATTATTGCTACTATTAGCGTCATTATTACTATTACTGTTGTGATTATTATTATTGCGGTCATTATTATTATTATTGTTATTGTTATGCTATTGGCAAGTGCAAAAAGTATTTCTGCTTGCAATTTCGTTCGGATTTTTTAATCTTTTTTCAAGTAAAATAATTAAAATCTGTCTGTAATAATATAATTTTTTTTAATAAACTGAAAGAAATTCACGTGGTTTATTGCATTGAATTAACTCGCTTGTTACCTGATAGATTTTTAAAATAATAATTTCTAAATTTAGCATTATCAAATTTTTCAAAAAAACCAAATAATAGTTTTTAATATTATAAATAGCATACTAAAGAATATTATTCAAATTTATTTCTTAAATTGAGCTGTATATGCATGAGGTAGCAGTGAAAATTCAATAATAATTGTTTAAATAATAAAGCACATAAAAATGAAAAATAAAAAAAAAATAAAATAATTCAATAATAATAAAAGAAACAAATTTAGTAATGAAACTGTGAATCTGAATTTGAAGGACCAACAAAACCCATATTCTTGAACAATAAATAATAAATTTATGAAATATAGAATGGTATAAAAATGAAATCATATTAATTACCTTGAGGATCATTTAAAACATCATTAAGAGAGAGTTTCTCAAATTCTATAATTCTAAATACAACAAATTAAATTAAGGAAAATAGGAAAATGAATATTTAATCATATTAAAAATAATAATATAGTACCTTCAGGAATTTTAAAATCAAATTGTTTACTTTCATAAGCAAAATATAATGTGTACAAACTTATATTAATAAAGATTGAATTAGAGATTTAAATTTTAATTAATAATTTAAGTAATTTTTGCCAAGTTGTTCTTCTATAAAATGAAAAACTAATAAATAAATTGATTAAATATAAAATAAAGTAAAAACAAAAAATTTTTAAAATATATTACCTTCTGCGGCATTTCGAGGTTGAGCTGAAATGTTAAATGCATATAATTTACTGGATTAGATCTTTTGGATCTTTTGGCTACTTTCATCTTTTATTAAACTTGATTGGGAAAAATTTGATTTTGAACAATTAGATTGAATTGTTGGTTCTTGTTGCTTATCCATTACATTATATAATGACCGAATTAATGAATTCATCTTATCATTAATTGTTTTTGCATCAGGTCTATTATTAGGATTAGCATCCCAACATTGTTTCATTAAAGTTGCATATTCATATGGAATATAGTTGTAAATTTTAGGCTATATCCATTAATTATCGCAAGAGCAAAATATAAATCAGAATTGGATTCATGATCACTAAATGAAGTTTCACCAGTAATGACCTCCCACATTATAACACCCAAACTATACACATCTGATTTTGTTGTATAATTTTTTTTTTATAAAATTTCAGGTGCGATGCGTGGGAGATTCCCATAGATACCATATAATTGTTTGCCAGATGGCTCACTCAATCCCAGATCATTAATATACCATCGTGAGTCATATAAAATATTTCCTGAATGCAAATTTCTATGTATTATATTTTGGCTATGAATCCTTTCTAAACTCAATGCTATTCTCTCAATAACATTATATTTTTGCAATAATGTAAGTGAATGATAATTATGTTTTAAAAAATGTCCTAAATCGTTATGTAATAAAATAAAACTAACATATAATCTTGGGTGGTTGGATCTTTAGTTAATCCATAACATTTAGCAAGTTATTAACAAGTTATTGGAAATTATTATCAAGTGTGAAGCTTAACATCACCTATCAATTTATTATAAATATGATATTATTATTTCTGAAATACAAATAAATGTAATAAATACAATAATAATTTGACTTACTTCTCGAAACCAATGCACATTATTATTATCTGAATTATTCAATCTTTTCAAAATAATCTTTTATCTTCCGAATCTTTCCAATATTTGTCTTTCAGAATTCCATTTATCATATCCCCCATCTTTCCAATCTGTTGTATAGATAGTAGCACATCCTCCTTCTGCCATATATTTGACATTTTCAAATTGATCATAACTAATCCATTCAATTACGTTACCAAGTTTTACAGTTGTTTGCTGACATTCTTGAATTAATCTGTCAATTTCATTATTTCCAGATGTCTAATTTCCAAAATTATTTTCTAAATATTTAAGAATACAAAATTCACAATATTGGATTGTCTGATGCCAATACTGACAATTGTTGCATTGTTATTTTTCTACAGAATTATCTCTAATTCTTAATGTATCATAATATGCCTGCACGTCATTACATAAAAAATTCTTTTCACTTTCTGTGAGAGATGAATATTTTTAATAATATTTTTCTTGGTCGAAATTGTTTTATGAATATTGGTGTCATAATTTATCCATAACACTGATTAATTTTTCATTAATTTCAGTAGCCATTTCTTATTTTAAAGTCAATATTATCTAACGAATAATTAATTAATTTATTGTTTATTAATTTATTTTTAAATAAAAATATATTCTAAAATCACCGTAGGTTAGGTTTTAATAATAGATATTATATAAGATTTTTATAGTTATCGTGCAAACAGTATTAAGATATGGATTTTAAACGAGACGCTAAAGATATGAAGTTAGATTTTAAACGTGCAATTATAAAAATTTTAATCGAAGGTTGACAGTAAAATATTTAATTTTCTATTTATACAATTATATTTGATGTAATTCGATGTAAATAAAATTATTAATATGCATTACTAAGTTAAAGTATTTCACTGACGTAATTTGACGTAATTGTTTTTCTAATTAATTATTTCATTGTGAAACATACTGGAATTATTTCAGGACTGAAGAATCGGAATTCTAAATAATATTCTTGGTTATTGACAAATTTTATTTTCCTTATAGAAATTACCATAAAAGGAGCTCTTTATTGTATGTACAGATTATGCTCAATCTAAATAATCCAGGACTGGAGATATTGTCGCACAATGTTTTGTTATGTTTCACAACACAAATCAAAAACAACTTTTCGTAAAAAATATAAAGTTATATGTTACACCCCAAACAACTAGGCGTGATTACACATAGCATATCTAAAGGTTCACGAACAAATTTTCCAATCGTGTTATTCTTTAATATCTCATACATTGAATTTTTTTAAGGTATTATATTGTACATCATTATAGTTTAATCGTAAAAATTATTTTAAACAGATAATTATGTCTGATATAATTTTTTTACAGATGGAAACTTATCGCGGAATGCGTTTAGCCTACAGACCCTGGGATAAATTTTGGCAGCATTCGACTTCATGTATCCGATCTTGAGTCTCATTAATTTGAATTCAATTGGTTAAGTAAATGTAGACGCAAAAAAAAAAAATTAATCTTAATTTATTTTGAATGTTCAAGAAAAAGTCGTTGTGGATTTTCTTTGGAGAATAAGGAATGTTGAAAGCTATTTGATGAACGAGTTTTACGTGTAAAGTTAATGAATTCGCTTTTATAATCAAATTTATTAATAAGGGTGTTACCTGAATACAAAGACACTCTCCTTGACGGTAGTATCTGATTTTGGAGCATCAATAGTTGCTGGCCTTCATTATCTGCGATGTGCTTTGTTTTGTTTCATTTGAAAAGAACACAAGAATATCAGTTTAGTATACTACACTTTAAACGGATTATAATGTTTGCAACATTGTAGTTCATTTGATTGTACTGTTAAATTTAATTTTTTGTATACTTAAATTTCAAAGCAATTTTCATCTAAGATGAATTCCGATAAAAAATTTTATTATAATTACTTCTTTTTTTGAAGAACAAATTTTTTTTACTTTACACACTATAAGTAAATAAGAATAATTTCATTCGATAAATGCGCAGAATCAAAAATGTTCTGTAAAACGTGTTTCTCGAAACATTTCAAAATGATTTTGATAAATGGACAAGTGGAATTGATAAGTTTATTCAAGGCTTAAATAAATGCATACGAAGTAATTCTTATAAGGTTAAATGGATGATAGACAAACTAAAAATGTTACTGTAGTTGAAAATCCTTAGTGGCTTGGAGTTAGTCAACTGAATATAGCATTAAAAAAGTTTCATAATTCTTTTTCAAATTAAATGAAAACTTCTTAAATGAGGTGAAATGTTTATTAGTTTCTGATGTAGAGATTAGTTTTTTCAAATTATATTTTGTATTATAAAAAAATTTATTATTTAGGTAGCAATTCACTTAAAATCACGGAAGTAATCAATTTCCCTGCGATTTTATGGAATTACTCAAGATCCAGAAACATGCAGATATGTTATAATTTTAGGCTATACGGATGGTGAAATCTTAGATTATTTGAAAAGAATTTTAATAATAGAATTGGAAATGTTCATGAATTGGATATAATACAAGAATTTTCATACTGGATATATTTTATCAACTGATTTTAGACTAGCTGAATTTGCATTTCATATATCAGATTTTAGTTTAAGTTGATAGAACATGATGTAAAAATACCGAAGAGAGACAAATTTTTGGTGCCTTTCCCACATATCTCAAGAAGTATTTAGTGGAGAAGAATAAACCAAAGCAACTGTCGTTTATTCTTCTGGAATCTTGCTATGAAATTTCACAAGATAGATATTAAGCCAGGCAAATATGTATAGATTACGATAAAAATTTCCATATCATATTCCAAAATTAATTACAAGTTTAATTATGAGATGTCGAGATACTCACAGCGTAAATTTTATCATTTCAAATTATACAAGCCAATAAAATTTCCAAAAAAATAAAAAAAGATATATTTTTGAATTTGATTAGGGCGAAAAATCAAACATCAACAAATTCAACAATTCCAACTCAATGAATCACAAAAGCGATTTATACCAGTAGATCCCTTGATCATTCAAGTCTTCAAAAACCTAAGAATAATGAAAATTTTGAAAAAATACTTGAAGAATTAACGAGATCTACTTCTGCTTTAAGTATGATTAATATAATTTATATTCTCATATATATAATATTTTATATATGTTTTTTATAATTTAGAAATTTTAATTTATTTCAGTCGTTATTTAGTTGCTTCTAGACTCGAACAATTTGTGGCATATAAGTTGCATGTATCGTTTTTCTTATAATGATTTTACATAATATTTATCTTAATATTTGCTACATTTTTATACATTCAGTTAAATATACTATGATGGATAATTATATTTGCAAAGTCACACAGTTTATTTATATGATATTTATATTCTGCTGTATAGTAGATAAGATAGTATATTAAATTGTTTTAGCACAATTACAATGTTTTAAACTTTTTATATTACAGTGCACGCCGCCTACACAGGTCAAATACAAAATATATGCCGTACCGAAAAGGAATTCTGATTTTAGCTGATTTATACAAATATAGGATGCAATAGGACAGTCGATTGTTACTGATTTTTAGCTGATCTATTGTAAGGGAATCACCATTCGGTACAGAGATTTGACTAGTGCTAAAAAATTAAATCATGTGATTTGTCCCATTTCTCGATCTAAAAATCAAACCGAATCCAAATGAACCAAGAAATCGATTTATGCATACTTTGCGACAAATCTTGTGGTTTCCGCATTTTCTCATTACTCTTTATTCGCCGAGAGAAAATTATAAAAACGGACTCGCAATCGAAATTAAACCATGTGATTGTTAAATCACGTTTTTGTCCCACTGGACATTGATCATATAAAAAAGAGTATTTTTAAGATGTTATAAGGTAATTATTTTTTTTAAAAAGAGGCCAATAGTTTGTAGTAAATTAACTAAGCTTCAAAATGTCAGCCTCCTTTTTTATACAACTTTTTAAAAATTATCAAATTTATTGCAGTCTTTAAGTGACGTGCACTGTAAATAATTAAATGATTATGAAAAAGTGTTTATATTTTATTAAATATTTTTTTTAATCTTGTGTAGTCATTATTGAATAATTTTCTATCCAAGAATTCTTCATTTTATTATTTTCAATTTGGCGTTCGTAGTATCGTGCTCATCCATGTGAATATTTGTGGTACCATATGTCTCACTAATTACATGGTGATCAGGAATAATATTTGCATTTTTAACAAATCAGAATATTTTACATGCTTCAATTTGTCGTTTTCGTCCTCGAGTTCTAGGAGGCTTAATTGATAGATAAACTGAATCTGAAACGTTCTCACTATATAATTTATAGTGGAGCTATTTTGGAAAATAATATTACGCCAAAGATTAATAATAATGTTCCACATCCTGGTGTTAAAACGATGTCTTGATGAGGAACCCTTGCATTATGGGATGTGTGATGTAAATGACAGTATGATTCATCAAGAAAACCTACTGGGTGATGTTGAACACCATTTTTGCCTCCAAATTAGCAAAACGGTGGCAGAGATATTAACAATGAAAAATGTTACATTATTTGATGAAGAATGTTTCTTCATTCACCTTTGACCAAAATGATTGCCTAAGCAGTGTAGTATTCTCGAAGTTGCCATTTGGAAAGAATATGCCTACATTCAGAAAGAAACTAACGTAATATAGAAGTAGATAGTTGTTTTTCTTTATTGTTAGAATTTATAATTTTTGTACGTAAAGTAAGTAATATCTTCGTCCAGTTGCAATTTAGGGTGTCCAAGGATTTTATGGGCCGAAAATATACCATCATTATACTTGTTTCAGTCTGAAAATATGCTTTAAACTGTACGTTCAGAAATGTTAAGAACCAGAGCAACACGCTTGCGTAATGTAAGATTTGGTTTTTGTTATCTATGGAAATACCTTGGAAAAGTATCTGTGAATCATTGGCTTTTCGTTTTTCCGTTATTGGAGATCCATTTCGTTTTATAATGGAAGGAGGTATCAAAAAATGTTAAGATTTGAAATATAAGCATATCATGTTTGTCTACTAAATATGTAATAATAGAATAAAATTATTATTTTCCATATGATTTCTCTATCACGCACACAAATCACATTCAAGGTTAACACGGAGAAATTCTTCTTGTACCGACAATATTTAAATAGAAATTCACTTAAAAACACGGGAATTAATTTCCCTGCGATTTTATGGAATTAACACGAAGATATATTATTGGTTTTAGATTATATGAATGGTAGAAATCTTAGAGATAATTTGAAAAATAATTTAACTACATTAAGTGGAAACAAAATTAGTATATTTACAACAATTAGCATATGATTTTGGAAATATTCGTTAATTAGATATAATACACCAGGATTTTCATCCTTTTGATATTTTAGCATATGACTTTGAACATTCTTCTAAATTATATATTTCAGATTATGGTCAAAGCAAGTTAATAGAACATGATGTAAAGAATCCTGAAAAAAGCCAATTTTTTTTGTATTGGCATATATAGCTCCAGAAGTATTAAGTAGAAAAAATGTTTATTCTTTAGGTATTATAGCTTATGAATTAGTCACTGGTTTTGCACCATATCATGATATTCTACTTAATAGAGATTTAGCTATAAAAATATATAATGGACGATGATCAAAAATTCCATTACATATTCCAAAATTAATTACAAGATTAATTATGAAATGTTGGGATGCCCGAGTTATTTCATCGACCCACTTTTAATAAATTGTAGAGTAAATTTTATTATTACCGTTGGGATTACTCGAGAAATATATTTAAAAAGAAAAATGAAATTACAGTCAAAATTAAACAAGCTAAAGAATTATCCAAAATAAGGAAAAAGGTGGATTTTTGTATCTACAATCTGATTACCAATCATTTCTAAATGTGATCATTTCGAAACGAAACTATATTTATTATTTATTATTAACCTTATTTCAAAAAAAAAAAAAATTAATCGTTTCGTTCTAATTTCTTTGTTATTTAATAAAAATAAAGAATAATTCATTCCGCAATCTTGCGCAAATTTTTGCACGATATTTTTATCGTCTCAATTTATTATTTATTTAATTATTATCAATTAAGAAAAAATAAATAATTATATCATCAGTGTAAGAATAATCATACGATTTTGTGTCAAAAATCTGATTGCAAACGTGATCATTTCGAAACGAAACTCTATTTACGTAATTATTTCGTTTTAATTTCTTTGTTGTTTAATAAAAAACAAATAATTCCGCAATCTTGCGCAAATTTGCAAAACATGCGCAAATTCCCGCAAATCTTGCGCAAATTTGCGCACAATGGTTTTTATTAAAAAAAGTCATTTTAAAGTTATGAATTAAGTGTGGCTTTACCATTTTCATACGCATCGTACATTTTATTAACTAATAATTTGTTACAGAAATTTCAAAACTAGTAACATGTTTATATTAAAGTTATTCTTTAATATCAAACTAGATGAAAAAAAACATTATAAAACATAAGAAAACAACTTTATTGTGCAATAGAATATGAAATTAAACGAGTTGATGCAGGTTGGGATGGGTTAGATAGTTGCATAGTCGTGCGCACTTTGGGTTTAAAGCTTCTATTTACATAATAACCTGTCATAAAAATAGGCGAATATATATAATGTTAACTATTTTTAGTCAGAAGTTAAAACTTTATTACTTTAACAACCTTTTGAGTTTTTTTGTTTTTTATTTAAAACAGACCAATCACAATTGAGGATCTAGATCAAATAATAAATGCGCCTTATATATAATAATACACGGAATTGTAGTATAAAGGGTAATAGATGGCTATACAGGAATTCGCTATGTTAATATTATTAACATAATGAATTTAATGCTAATTTGTATATATATTATATATGTATTTTATATTGTATACATTAATATTGTGTACAGAAAGAAATGGCCATTATTTATATTGTAACGTAGCTTTTTCTGGTAAATTTTGTTGGTGAAGCGGAGATCAATCCGTTGTAAAAATTCATTGAGCGAATTATTTTCAATTTAGATGACATCTTTTGTAATGCATTTATTGTATTTCAATTTTTTAGAAATTTTTCCATTTTTCTATTTAATATTTATTTATTGTTAATATATTTATTTTATTGTTTTTTATGCCATTATGATATTTTCTTAGAAGATGAAGCGATTCAAAATTATCAAAATATTCGATATAACAAACATCATAATTATCATAATTATTATAAATATAATAAATTTACTAACAACAAATAATATATTAGTTGCTGCAGAATCAGAATGCAATGGTGATCCGAATATCTGTGATTTATATTTTTATCAAGTGGTAATTTATTATACTATACTATATTTGTTTAATTTATTGTATTGTTAAAATTCAATATATTTATTATTTTTAATTTATTTAATTTTATTTTTAATTTATTTAATTTTATTCTTATTATATTAATTGTTCTTTAAATTTAGACATTCGCTGGAACTCACAATAGTGCATCGTATAATCTAACTTATGATTGTGATAATCTCGTCGATACTTGTAAACTTGAATTGGGTTCAAATTCATGTAACGAACAATATGAAACTTGTATAAATAATCAAACGACAAGTTGCGATACTCAAACAAGTGATTTTAATGATTGGATTCCTACTTTTTCTAAATGGATCGGCGATTTATTTAATTCCATTTGTAATGCGAGTGATGTTTTATGTGTTGCTTGGCGTACTGTATGCGAAAGTTCGGGAGATGCATGTGATTTATTGGGAGATGCTTGTCAAGAAGGTATTTCTGATGATCTTTTAGAATGTTTATGGGAAAATAATGAGGGTTATCCTATTAAAAGGCAACTTGAAGATGGTAAATTTATTATTTATTTCGTTATGTATAATTGATTTATTATTATTATGAATATTTTTAATTATTATCTTTAATTTGATAATTAATTATACATACTTTTATTATTTACATTATATTATATATACTTTATATTACACCTATTACATATTAGGAATCAGATTTTTGGATCTAGATGCATGTCAAGTAGGAAATGAAAGTGTAGTATTCTGTCATGGAGAGGGTTTAACACGTGCGCTAGGAACAGATTTAGATTCAATATTTTCAGATATAAAAAAATTTATGGAAGATAATCCTAATGAAATTCTTAATATAGCATTTGGTGATTATGATGGCACTAATGCGACATTTGTAGCTAATTTTATTCAAGACAAATTAGAATATTATTTTGTAAATGGATCGGGATATTCATTAATGTTACAAGAAAAAAATGGATGGCCAAAATTAAAAGAAATGATTGAAATAAATCAAAGAATTGTTATATGGTTTGGTCTTTTATACGGTTGGTTAGGTGATACACGTAAAGATTGGGTATATAGTATTGATTCCTATTTTGTAGTAAGTTATACTTATACAGCAGGTGATTTAACTGCTGAACAATTAAATGCTAGTTTTACTGAATGGAGTAATAATGCTTCGATTGTAATTGCTGATGATCTAATAAATTATGGATATATTCGATGGCAAACAATTGATATTACGTGAGTAAGCTTTCTGTCGGTTTACTTTCTTTATCTTTCCACTTTTCTTTATTAATAAATTTTATTATAACATATTTTATTATAAAGAGTTGGACTGAATTCAACAGCACTAGAAGATGCCATAATAAATAATGATAATCCTGGTAAATTATGTTTAAAAGATTTAGCAAATAAGATTAATTATGATTTATTAGATTATATTTATGATATTTTTAAAGACAAATTTCCTTATATTATCAGAGTAACCTTAGATTATTATAATCAAAGTAATTTATTTGATGTAGTTAATAAATTAAATCAATTAAATGTACAAAAAAATATAACAATTTAATGTTTAATAATATACTATTCTATAATATACTATTCTATAATATTATATACTGTAATAATGTAGTCACAAATTCGTATTTATTATTTTCAATTAATTACTTACAATTATTCAAATATATAAAGTACTATTGCATTAATCTTTAATATTATTAATGAAACTCTCGATCTCATCAAGATTTGAAATTTCCTTATTTGTTATTTCTTCTTTCTTTATCATTTTTTTCATACTAATAACTACATTTTCTAATTTTTAAATAATTCTTTGTACATTCTTCATCTAAATAATTACCACATTCTAATCTTCCCATGGTTATTATAACACGTTCTATTCCATTAATACTTGCTAATCATTTTTCATAATCATCATCATTATTGCTATTTTAAATTATAATTATTACCATAATTATTAACGATAGTAGTAATTATTATCATTTTAATTATTGTTGTCATTATTAAAAAATCGTTTCTTTAGAGCTTTTGAATACTTTGTTGCATAATGTTTTCCTTTATTAATCATCTTCACAATTTTTATATTGAATCCATTGAAATTAAACGAAGCTTGTAAAATACATGAAATCGGTAAATGGAATATTCTAAAATATATATATATATATTTGATATATTACAAATATAATTTAATTATAATATGAAATAAATAAAATAATTACCTTTTTATTTATATTCTAAGAAACATGATCACTCCAAATTTATCAAGAAAGTTAAACATGTCATTCCATATAGAATTATTTGGAAATCCACTAATGAAACCCTTTAAAGTTATGATCGTCTTTTAATGAAATGAAACAAAAAATCAAGATTGATTCAAATTATGTCATCCCAAAGTTGTCTTCAAGGATTTTTTGTAGGACTTTACTTTCTCCCAAATGTCTTCACTAGAAATATGAAAATATCGAATAGTGGTAAATATTGCTGTATGTTATTTCAAAGCCTTGAAATTTCATTAGATTATTCTTTCGAATCAAGAATTTTGTGCATTCCCATTTGATAACGTAAATCCCAAATTTTAATTTCTTTGATTTCAAGTCATCTCTTTTCAAAAGAGAAACCAATGCTGTTTCTTGAAGTGAAATGAAATATTCTGATTCAAAAATCTAATTTGGATATTTTATAATAATATCATTATAAAATTTTTTCAAATCATTAAATTCATCACTATAGAAGATTGAATGATAAACAAAGGAAAAATGAGCTCTTAACCAAGAATCTTTAGATTTGATAAGGTAACTGCTAATCTTCCAATTCATTAGTATTTACTATTAATTCATAATGTGCAACATGTGAGGTTCGCGCAAGACTGATACGATCTGCACTAATTATTTAGATAAACTGTACGGTACGAAACGCTATTTTGTACTGTACGATTTTATATAAATTTTTGCACATAATTCGTACAATAATATATATATTATAAAAATCTAATTGTAATGTATGAACTTTTATGTTAATAAACCGTACAATACAAGTATTTTTATATTAAAAAGCCGAACAGACTAAACATAAACCCAACCCCTGTAATATATATTATTATCTATTTATGTCAAAATACGGGTTGGGGTTTGTGTCACATGCAAATCAAGTAGGGGTGTTACATTTTATTATCACCACCTCAACACACCCCAACATTCAATTTTTATTATATTTTTTTAAGGACAGAATTTTTTGGTTCTAAAATAAATTTCCCACGGTTAAAATTAATTAAAATATCACGTGATATTAGTTAATCAACCGTACAAGTCACTATTCGTACAGTACAAAATAGCGTACAGTTTATCTGTATACCCAATTATTTTATTTTATTTTTAGTCATTAAAAAACGTAACAATCTTGTGTTTACCATAATTTTTATATAGTGCGGAACCTCTATAATAGGAACTTAGAAAATCTTAAATAAAATTTAATCCAATGCTCAGATTTCTTTTATATTATAGTGTTTGAATGTATACATTTGGAGGAATCCATTTATGGAAAAAAAAAATTTCTCAATTTTCAATTTTCTTGGTTTATGTAAGCATAATATTATGCAATTTTAATCAATAAAAATTCAAGAAAATATATTCACATGTTTATATAAAATTATAAATTTTATTTTTTTGTTCTTAAACTTTTGTCAATGGTATTTTAACAGATACAAAATATCTAAAATCATTAGAAATCCTCTTTTAAAGTAAAATTATAATAGTAAATATTTTTAGTATATTCTCAAATTTGATAGGTATAATTAAATGAAAGAACTTCAACTTCAGTAAAAGTTGATAAATTTAAGTTAGATCAAAATTTTAAATGATAATTCTGAAAGCTTAGGTTCTGAACCATCAATTTCTACAGTTAAAAAATTTTATTTCTATATATAGTAAATAAAGTTTTAATGCAAAAAGACTGAATAATTTTTATTATAACTAAGTTCCTATTATATCTTCTCCAGTATCACCAGAAATGTTTCTACCCCTCCACGTGAGGGTAATTTTACCTTATATGATTGGTCTAAGATTTGACAATAAAATATTATAATTTTTACCCGCGTGTGTTCTTATTTACACTTGTCTCTTTTTCGAATATAACTTTCGTGTTTTTCTTGTTTTTTTTAAACAAAGAAACAAATAGATAAGCAACAAATCACAAAGATAATAATCAAGAAAGTTATAATTTTAAATATTTATATATTTAATTTGATCTATTTTTATCTATTTGGTAGTGTTTTTTTAATATGCTTATTTATTTATTTGATATTACTGTATTATAGATGAGCTCTAGCTAGTTCTATTTTAACCAATAAAAATATTGATAATAGACAACAAAAAAGCAAATGATGCAAAAAAAATTTACCATCAAGTTTATTTACCACTAATGGAAAATCATATCGTTCTTGCAATATTTGTATTACTCAAAGTAAAGCAAATTATCAACGAAAATTAAATCAAAAAAAGCAAGACAATAATCAAATTTTTATTGATTTTTCTGATTTTAATAATTTAGAATTTAAAGTTTTCTGTGCTGTAAATATTGCTACTTTAGAAGGTAACTCAAGAGAAAAGGCTGGTCATATTGTCGAACCAATATCAGATGTAGATGAATATAAATGGATGTATGTTCTTTACATTTTAAATTTATATAATACGATTTCGAAACGGGAAAAAGATTAGAGTATAAGAATAGAAATAAATATCAGAATGATAATTATTTATTACTAATTATTTCACAACTACTGTCACCACCACAACAACGGCATTAAGAAAATATCGTATTTCACATACTCTATTTCTCAATAAATCCAACCATCATCACAACAATCTCATATTATCGTCATTGAATGGATTAGAATTAGTTCATAAACTTGATTTTGATATTAAATTATCTTAAGGGATTATAATTTATAATTTCACTTTGAATCATGATTCAAATGAAGTCAAGAAAACCGCTTTAGTTATTGGTGCAGCAACGTAGATAATGATTATTTATTATATTATATTTTTTATTATTATTTATTTAGTATTTATTTTTTTTTGTTTATATTTATTTGTATTTATTTTATTTATTATTTTCATTTATTTTCATTTATTTTTGTTATTTTTATTTATTTTTTATTTTTTATTTATTATATTTATTTATGGAATGATCCATTAGCTCAAGTCATGCAATCTCATTCCTCATCTTTTAAATTCACTCTCACCAGAAGAAATGATATCAAAGTTTTATCGCGTCTTTGCATCCATTATCTAAATGACTTGAAGGATAATGAATTTCGTGTTAGATTCAAATATGGCTAATAAAGAAAGGAAGATGATCAATAATAGCAACAAGAGAATTTATTTTTTTCGGATATAATTGGATCTTGGTGTGAATTATTTCAATTTACTTCTTATTGGTTGGATGATGATTATATTATTAAAAAATCACAGGAATCAGATATCGATATTAAAGAAAAATACTTAGTGGAATATCAATTATAAGGAAACATTATCCTTTTCGGTGTTCTGCTCAAATAAGTCCAAAATGGGACAAGCTGATTAAGGATTATTTAGAAGATTATGATCGTAAGTTAAAAATTAATATAATGATTTTGACTTGTCTTCACTTTTATCATTACCTTTCTATTAGAACTTCTACCATAACATAACAATTATAAACAATAAGTATTAATTAAGTATTTCGACTTACAAACTTACATTTGTCCTTCTTTTAGTAATACATTTCGCGTATGAAACCATACTCTTTTAATTTTTGATCGAAATTAGTTAAATTTGGAAAATCTTGTGCAGGATGTAAAGCGTTAAAATTACAGAAATTAATTGATTAAATTTTTCATCTGTTGGATCAATGTCAGTATTGTAGGATCAGATATCCACAGAGAAGATGTGATGCTAAAATGCTATAAAAAATTATATTAAGTTATTACAGAATAGATTATAGTGGCAATCTTGCCGATAATAATTAAAAAAACTTACTATCGGTTTAAATCCAGTTTACGTCTATAAAAAATATCTTCCAATCTTAATTTACATGTCATTAAAACAAATTAAAATATTGCTATAATTATTGTAATAATTATTGTTATTATCAATTTCATTATTAATGGCTGTGGATGTTTGAAAAATTTGGAAAGAAAGATCAATAAACTATTAGATTAATAAAATGAAGATAGATTTTGGTATTTTATGATGTTAGAGTCGTTGAAAAAGCAGTTTATAATTGTAATAATGGAATAAAATGGATGTTTGTTGTTAATTGTGATAAAGGAGTTGCTAAAGAAGTTGATGTTATGGAATATTTGGGGATTTGATATGATGATAAAGGTCGTATCGATTGCATTGTATTTGTTGTATCTGTTGATAATACTGGAATTGTATGAAAAGTCTATGAAGTTGGCTTTAATAATCGTGAATATTGCGAATCTTGTGAATGTTTCATTTTCGATTATTTTGATTATTTTGATTATTTTGATTATTATAGTTATAAGGAAATAAAATTTTGTTGATGATGATGAATTGCTGTTATTGATGTTGCTGCTGATGAAGGTGATTAGTAACGATGTGTTTGTAGTTGTTGTCATTGAGCTGAGCTTAATTATTTATACTTTTTCTTCGAATTGAATAAGGCCATTAACAGAATCGTCATCATCTTATTCATCTACCCAATTCATAATTATTATTTTTCACTTTATTTTTATTTTTAAAAAAAAAACCAGGTTGATACAATTTTTGATGCGAACAATGAAATTTTTAAAGAAGATGGTCATTTTAATCCTTGTAAAGAGTATAGTGCTCTGTTATTTCTTTTTTTAAAAAGCTTCATACTGTAACCGTCATGATGATCTCAAGACATCCTAATGAAATTTATTATAAACGACCATAGCAACGAATCTTTTTCTGGTAAATCGTATTGTATGCGTTGGATTGTGCGCATTGAATCGTATAAACTTTTTCAATAAATAATCACCAATCATGATCAATCATCATCCTTTATTATATAATAGGCGAGCAAAAAAAATTTGTAATATTAAAAGATGATAATTATTTTAGCACTTAATGTGTCAAAGTTAATATCATAAGAAAGGATATTATAAGTTAAAGAAAATATATCTCAGATGTAGTTACGAGGAAAGAATTGCTATATTTAAAAACATACTTTGGAAAATAAAAATTTTATAAATATTATTTTCACAAAAATTCACATTTCTACTATTACCGATTTTAATCATAACTTTTTTAAAGATGTACATGCACATAACACAATTTAGAAAAAATGCAATTATGTAAAAGGCATTTCTGATATAGTTGTGTTTCTGTTACAGTTATCGCTATCTTAAATTTACTTTTTTTTAAAATATCATGTTTCATCATCAAGTTCGAGTGCAATAAAGAAAAAGAAATTATTTAATAGAGAATTAAAAAATAAATAATGAAATAATTAAAAATCAGAAACATTTTGCGCCTCTGAAGTAAATAATGAAATAATTTCATCGGATCTATTATAAATGAGAAACTTCTTTTACCTCTGAATGAACATTTTAGCAATATCGGTAAATTATTGCTCTATTCCAACTGCCGACTCCGACATTTTGTGTTTATTTAATATAATCTGCGTATACTGTTAATAAAATATATCAGTTATTTTAAAGGAAAATATTTATTATGAATTCTGAATAAATTTTATTTAAATTGAATGTCATACTGTATATGTTGTTGGTTCATCTTTTTAACATTAATTTTACTCTAAATAAAAATATTTATAATGTGACGTGGAACCTTATTTTTATAACAACACAGCATCGCATCTTGTTTTTAAATTATATATTTTCACATTTTTTTTAATATTAAATAATCAACTGATGAATGATAAAATTTAAACAATACAATTTAAAAAGGATAATAATAAATAAAAGCTTTTGTTTCATTACATAAATATCATGCATCATAATTCAAATGGTTTAAAGATTCATTCCAATCAGTATCGCTAAGGTTAAAATTTGAGAATTGAAAAGTAGGTAAAAGAGGTAAAGGTTTGCTTATTAGAGATGCTTTAGAATGAATAATTTCAGTAGATAATAATCCAAAATCTTCATTTTTTATTCCATGATTTGCATTTAAAAACTCAAGTGAGTTTTCTGCTTCTTCGTCAAATGCAAGTTCAGAAATCCAATTAATAAATGTGTCTTTAATAAATTTAGCTCTTGGACGTTTGGATGGATCTTTGTGCCAACACTTTTTCATCAATTCTACATAACATTGAGGTGTGCCTTCTTTAATTTTCGGTCGAAGTCCACCAAGAATTTCAAAGTTAATTCTAAATCATATGCTCTGTTAGAAAATGGTATATTTCCTGTTGATATTACCCACATAATAATTCCAACACTATATATATCAGAAGCATGAGAATATGGATTTTGGTTCAATATTTCAGGTGCAATATATGGCAAGACACCATATCTCTCAGACGATTTAATTTCATCTACAGATCTACAAAATCCTAAATCTCCTAATCTTATGAATATCAAATTATCATATGCTTCAGTAATCATTAGATTACCAGGATGAAGATCACAATGAATATATCCTTTATCATGAATAACTTCTAATCCTGCAAGAAATGACTGTAATAACCATAATCGTTCAGTCCATGGTAATGTTCTATTTTGTTGAAGAAAATTTCTTAAATTTCCATTTTTCATATATCGTAAAACTAATACATATTCCATAGTCTTTGGATCTTGAGATATACCAAAAATTGGCAGAACATATTTGGAACGACAGTGAAAATTTGCTAGTAACTGTTTATTTATAAAGATATAAAGTTTTAGATATAAAGTTTTATGATCATTATATTTTGGTATGTTAATATATTGAATATTTACCTCTCTTGAAAATTCAAGGCTCATGTCTTGTGAATTTATAAGTTTTTTCAAAGCAACTTGATTGAAATTGCAGATTTCAAATAACTCTTCAGGAATATCTATCCATTCTGCTTTCCAAACAGTACCAAATGCTCCTTGATCTAAATAGTTAATATCTTTCAATTTACTATAATCAATCCATCTCCAAGTTTCCCATTCCTTTGCATTTTCATCTAACTCTGTCATTTGAATAATTGTATTAGCAATGTTACCATTATCTAGAGAAAAGCATAAAATATATTCTAGTTCTAAATATTTGCAATCCTTACATATATTTTTTCTAATATTTAAATTTCCACAATTATAACATCTACCGAAATCTTGAAAACTCTTGCATATTTCAATGCAATCATTATTTTGCCAACAAATACAGCAGATGTGATCTTTAACATTTGAATCTTCAATACTGTTTGAACTTTTAAAGGATGATTTAGAAAGTGTTAAACTAATATCCTTTCTTTTAGTATTTTGCTTTAACTTATTTTGATATTTCTTAATTGTCGAGATTTCAAATTCATCTCTATATAAAGATTGAAGTAATTGTTGGCCACGATCATTTCCCGCTTTAGCTGATTTTAAAATCCACAGAACTGCTTTCTTTTCATCTTTTGTTGTTCCAAATCCTTTTAAATAACAATCTCCAAGACTACACGCTGCATCACTATTTCCCCCTTCAGCCGATTTCAAGTACCATTGAAATGCTTTCTCTTCATCTTTTGTTGTTCCAATCTCATATTGATAACAACCACCAAGATTATTTTGTCCCATATGGTTTCCCCATTCAGCTGATTTCAAGTAACACTGAAATGCTTTCTCTTCATCTTTTGTGGTTCCTATTCCATAATCATAACAAAGTCCAAGATTACACTGCACATCACTATTTCCGCCTTCAGCTGATTTCAAGTACAACTGAAATGCTTTCTCTTCATCTTTTGTTGTTCCAATCCCATGTCGATAACAATATCCAAGAAAATTCTGTCCATCACTATTTCCTTCTTCAGCTGATTTCAAGTACCACTGAAATGCTTTCTCTTCATCTTTTGTTGTTCCAATTCCATGTAAATAACAAGATCCAAGATTACACTGTCCATCACTATTTCCTCCTTCGGCCAATTTCGAGTACAACTGAAATGCTTTCTCTTCATCTTTTATTATTCCAATTCCATGTTGATAAAAACGTGCAAGATTATATTGTCCAGTAATATTTCCCCCTTCAGCCGATTTCATACACCAATGAAGTGCTTTTTCTTCATCTTTTGTTGTTCCAAACCCATGCTGATAACAATATACAAGATTATTCTGTCCATCGCTATTTCCTCCTTCTGCTGATTTCAAGTACCATTGAAATGCTTTCTCTTCATCTTTTGTGATCCCTATTCCATGTTGATAACAATGTCCAAGATTATATTGTCCAGTAATATTTCCCCCTTCAGCTGATTTCAAGTACAATTGAAATGCTTTTTCTTTATCTTTTATTGTTCCGGTCCCGTGTTCATAACAACTTCCAAGATTATACCGTGCAACATTGTTCCCTTTTTCAGCTGATTTCAAGTACCACTGAAATGCTTTCTCTTCATCTTTTGTGGTTCCTATTCCATTATCATAACAAAGTCCAAGATTACACTGTCCATCACTATCTCCCCCTTCAGCTGATTTCAAGTACCATTGAAATGCTTTCTCTTCATCTTTTGTTGTTCCAATCCCATGCTGATAACAACGTCCAAGATTAAATTGTCCAGTAATATTTCCCCCTTCAGCTGATTTCATGTACCACTGAAATGCTTTCTCATCATCTTTTGTTGTTGTTATTCCATTTTCATAACGACATCCAAGATTATACTGTCCATCACTATTTCCTCCTTCGGCCGATTTCAAGAACCATTGAAATGCTTTCTCTTCATCTTTTTTTGTTCCAAACCCCTGTTGATAACAAACTCCAAGATAATACTGAACATTACTATTCCCTCCTTCAGCTGATTTTAAGCAAAACTGAAACATTTCCTCATCTTCTTTTGTGGTTCCATTTTCATTTTCCATTTATGCAGAGAATATAAGTTTTTAAAAAGAAGAAATTTTTGAAATTTGATATATATATAAATTCAAGAAGCTTTAAATGTGATGAATTTATTATATAGATCAGGTTGTAAAAAAATAGCAAAATTGTATATATAATTATTTGTTATTGGTTCATTTGGAAAACTAATATAGACATTTTGCATACCGATCTGCAATTAAGAATGTTAGAAATTTCTGATTGTCCAAATCTCATTGTTCAATAGATTTCGCTATTGCATATTACCTAATTTTAATTATACAATCAAATAAATACATATTGATTTCGAATTCTAGTATTTCATATATATGTTGTGTTATTATTATCTATTGAGGTGGGTAATTTTCTGAGGAGAAAATCGTCAAACAACGACAATTTTAAAAACAAAATTTTAAAATAATAGTTCAAATCATTATTATTAAAAATTTCCATGACATCCAAAACTTATGGTTTTAATAATTTATATATGTAGTAATATATTTATTAATTCATATTGTACTGCTTACCAAATTCAGGATCTAAAACAGAAATCTTTGACAATTTAAAAAACATTCGAAGGACTAGAAATATTTCGAGGTACAACATTTTATTACATATCATATTCCCCATTTATTATTTTTTATTATTTATTACATAATATCAAATTATATTCACATATTCATATAGCATATTAGATCTTATTAAAATCAAATGAAAAAAAACTTTGAATACTAATGAAGTTATTCTTTTGAAAATGACGAATCATTACAAGAATCATTAAAAGATTCATTACATAATACATATAATAATAATAATTCTGAGAATAGGAATAGGTAAGGAATAAGTATAAGGATTATGATTATTCATTACTAATTATTTCAAAGAAACCATCACCACCACAACAACGTAAAGAAAATAATCGTATTTCGTACATACTCATTTATAATGATATTTCTCAATTAATCTTGTATTAATTCTGAATTGATTTTGGTATTAAATTATCTCAAGGTGGTGGATTGAAATTTATAATTTCACTTTGAATTATGATTCAAATTAAGCCAAGAAGAAATCTGCTTTAGCCATGGTGCAGTGATGCAGGTATGATTATTTATAATATTATATTAATTATTATCATTCATTTATTATTTATTTTTATTTATTTTTATTTTATTTTATTTTTATTTATTTTTTTTTTATTTATTTTTATTTTATTAATTATATTTATTTATAGAATAATCCATTAGCTCAAAGTTATGCACTAAGAATGAATCTCATTCCTCATCTTTTAAACTCACTGTGTAGTAATGATGATCGTTGATGATATCAATTTGATATGAAAATTTTGATTTCGTGTTCATTATTTATCACCAATTTTATAGATCAAAATATGGTTAAAGAAGGGAAGCTGATGGCTTATTTGATCTCAATAACAAAAACAAGAGAATTGATGATGCTGATAATAATGATGTTATTAAATCACAATTAGATGTCGATACTAAAGAAAAAATATTTAGAGGAATATCAATGATAAGGAAAAATTATCCTTTTCAGTGTTCTCAAATAAATTTAAAGGTTATTGGAACAAGATGGTTTATGATTTATTTATAATAGTTAAAATATCTAATGAAAATAATAACAACAATATTACAGTTGATGAGATGCAGATATTAAATAAATATATTTCATATTAATATCCAAATATTATATTTATATATATATATTTATTTAATTTAATTCAGCAGGGCCTTACATGCTGAGGGCAAATTTATTTGTCAGGCGGTAGGCTGCAGGCACGTCTCATAGGAGTTAGTCCGAGTCTCATCTTTTCAATAATATTAGGATAAGTTATGTATTTTGTATTATTTTTTGTAATATAGGTGACTTTCTCTTTTCCTCATTAATAAATTTAGGCAAGGACTCGCTGGAACAAATATATATATATATATATTATTTAGTTTAATTTATTTCAATTTATGTAAACATTAGTAAACCGATTTTTCAGTTATCTTAATTATGATAGTAATTATATGATTATATAAATAAATATTTTACTTAATTTTATCATCATCATCAATAATAACTTCAGAGGAATTTTTTCTAATAATGTCCATTGTTATTATATAGATTATTATTATGGATACATGATAATGATGATGCATTAAACTATTGTAGCTACTTTTAATAATGACATCATTATTGTTACTTGTAATATTAAAATAATTACTACTTGTAGTAATATTATTCTAGTGAGATGGAGTGTTGATTTTTTCAGTGTTTTTGATTTCTTTCTTTGATTTATTATTTTGTTGTTAAATATTATCCTATTATCATTATTTAAATTATTATATTATATTATTATATTATATTATTATATTATATTACTATATTATATTATTATATTATATTATTATATTATATTATTATATTATATTATTATATTCAGGCGGTAGGTTGCGGGCCCGTCTCTTATGAGTTAGTCCGAGTCTCATCTTTTCAAATAAATATTAGAATAAGTTGTGTATTTTGTATTATGTAATCTTATGTAATGTAAAAAACTTTCTCTTTTTCTAATTAATAAATTTGAGGCAAGACCTCGCTGGAACAAAAAAAAATATTATATCATTATATTATATTATTATATTATATTATTAAACATTCTAATGAACATTTATAAACTTACATTTTAAATATTTAAAATATTTAATATTGGATATTCGCTACTAGAATTAATGAATGAAGTCTTGATTTATTGGAAACCTAGTTAATTTTTTAATTAATTACCTAATGATTATCTAATATGAATTGATATAAATATAGATTTAATACTTGTTTGAGAAAGATGTATAGTAAAGTGTTAAATGCTCGACATTTAGTTTTATTTTTATACTCTTCTAATAAATTTAACTAATTTATTTTAATTTAGCTAATTTATTTATGTTTAACGAAAATTTACCGAAAGAATGCACGCAAAGAAGAATATTTTCGCTGAAGTCTTAATTTAATATTTAGTATGATGGTGAACCAATGAATTATGGAGAGATATGTGATATATAAGTATAAGAATTTTAATTAATATTTTCTATTTTTATTTTTTCATTCTTTTATTTTATGGATTTTATAACACTAATTGAAATTTTTTATGTTACATATTTTAGCACGAGTATTGAAGATTAGATTAAGATAGCATCGAAGAAAGAATATATATATTTTCAAGGCAGAAGTATGATCATTAAATGTTTAAGGTTCATATATTAGAATATTGTATTGAAGATATTATAAAAATAATAATTCTAATACCAATAAAAATAATGACAATAATAATAATTCTAATACCAATAAAAATAATGACAATAATAATAATTGTAATATTGACAATAATAACAACAATAATAATAAAATTTAGTAATTATTTTTCAACGTGATCATGAATAAAATAATAATAATAATGATAGTGACAAAATAATCTCAGATCACAAAAAAAAAGAAATAGAATTGATTTATTTATCAGGTCAGTATATGTATGTACAAGGTAAGTCATTGTAAACAAAGTGAATCAGGTCATTTATTTTTTGTGATGACAGGATAATATTTTCAGGAAGATGAATAATATCTTCTTCTAATTTAGCAATAGTAGAAATATGACCTTTTCCAATTTTAAGTAACCATTTTGCAAATTCTTCTTGTTCAATAATATTTAAAATATTTGTGGCCTTAAGTACTCAAATATTGGTTTCTAATTTTATTATTTTTATATATTTCCATAGAATTGATCTTTGCAAGTATGAACCTATAATATATTCTCGTCCTCCCTTTACTATTACAGGAGGGGTTTGTCAAAAATCTCCTCCAAATACCATAACCTTGTCTCCAAATGGTTTTCTTCTAAAGCTAGATCTATAATTTTCATAAGATCCCTTAAAGACTGATTTACAGCTTCAAATACATGTTAATGTATCATTGATACTTCATCCCAAATAATTAAACATGTAATTTGTAAAAGAGAAGCTAAATCAGAATTATAAGGTATAGAGCAAGTGGAATCTTCATGTATATTGATAGGAAGTTTGAATTGGGAGTGAGCAGGTTTTCCACCTGGTAAAAGAAGAGTAGCAATACCTGATGAAGCTACTGCAAGAGCAATATGCTTATTTAAACAAACTTTTGCAAGTAAGATGTTATAAATATAATAATTAAAATGTTAATTATAATAAATTTCTTACTTATAAAGAAATGTTTTTCCAGTTCTACCTAGATCATCAATAAAAAATGATGCAGAAGTTTGGATTTCTACTGTTACTATAATTTTTTCAAATATGGTTTTTTGTTTTATATTTAATTGAGGAACTCCATTTTCAACAATTTAAGCAAATTCTTCAATATCATATTGATATTCTTTATCAATTAGATGATTGTTTTTCTCATTATTTGAAAATTCTATTGGATCAGGCATATTTGGAAATTTTTCAAGGCACTTTCCTTGTTTATTCAAGATTGACTGTAGATGATGGAGAGCTCTGTTATATATTTCAGTATTTGTAAATTCAAGAGTCATATCTTCAATTTTATTATAGACTTGAAAAAGAATATCATTACTAAGAATATGAATGTATTCGTTCCAAAGTATTTCAGGTTTTGTTAACTTACAAAATAATAGGAGTTTTGTAACTGTACTCCAAATTGTATTTGTTTAGCTTTTTCCAAACATTGGTTCCATTCTATATCATCTTGTAATATTCCTAAAGCAATATAGGCTTCCTTGAAAGAATGATAAGTAACTCCTTCAACTGTATGAAGATTCTCAAAAGATGTTGCATCACAAATTAACATTCACTGGTCAAAAATTTATAAATATCACACCTATCAGGCTCCCGATAGGTGTAGTATTTATAAATTTTTGACTGGTGATTCTAAGGTAATATAATTCACCTGCCCATTGGATGAACAAAATATATTTGACCAATAGAATTTTCTCTTTGTCTTAACCTCCATTTCTTTGTTTTCTTTTCATACACCCATTGAGATGAAAAATCTTCATATGTAAGTCATCTAGCTTCTGGAAATATTGTGTTAGCTCCAAACCATGCTGTAAGTGTTGTTTTTTCTACATTGGAATGTTCAATAATATCTTCCAAACATTCATTATTTTGAAATATCACTCTATATTGACCTGGAAGATGAATGTGTAATTGAATAACGTCTGGCATTTCATTATGTAGTTGATAATGAAATATTCTCCATGAAACTTCAGATGCTGAAATATAATGAGCATCAAGATAAAACTTATTTCATTAATACATTCTTTTTACTCTTTTCCAATTTCTATAGTAGCACAATCATGACCTTTGTAAATATATTTGAAGAGGTATTCTACAGCAGCAATTGATGAACAAATCTCAACATTATTATGACAATCGTATTTAGTTGTTAGGTATGGATTTTAAGGTACCACCCAATGGTTATCTAATTTAATTCCATTAACTTTTACTGTTTGACTATTTTCTCTTTGTCTATAAATTGGATAACCATCTTTATCTTCAATGGTACTTGTTTGAAAATGTTGTGGATATTTTTTTTAGAGCAACTTCCATCTTTCAAATTTGGAGCATTTGGCATAAGTATATCACATGGACTATGTATCATTGACCGTTGAACTATATTAAATATATCAAGATTAATATTCTTATTTGGAAATTCAGCTGATATAATTGTATCATAATCATCACGTGTTTTGGGTTTATATTCTTAAGGTATCATAATCCTCAGGTGTTTGGGTTTATATTCTTAAGCAAGTATAAGAAGAATATGCGCATGTAACAATTCACGTTTTTGGAATTCTATTGTATAAAGGTAGCCTACTACCTTTCCCAAAATATTTTCTTTCAATATTTTTTTAAGCATTGCTTTTAATTTCATACTAAAAACACGTGTAATTAAATCAGGTCGATCTGAAGCAGTTTGTTGTTGAAGTGTTTCTTTAGGCCAGTTTAGATACAATGGCAATTCCATCTTGATATAGTTTTTGCATTTGTTGAGGCCCTCCAGCAAAACTTGATAAGATAATTCATTGTCCAATATTTGTTATTTTTGTTACTATATTATCTCTAACATACATTGTATCTTGAAGTTCCACTATATAACTCTGCATGTATTTCTTTTGATTATATCTTAGATAATTAAGGTGTGTTTGTTCTATTACTGTATACATATCAACATTCCATTATTAAAAGAGTCATCCAAATTGATGTAAAACAATTGATTTTCCAGGGCGACCAATTTGAAGCCGGTATGCAAAATAATTCATTGCAGTGATATAATTTGATTCATTTCTATTATTTTTATTATTAATAGTAAATTCTTCTTCTTCCTGTATAAAGCAAGATCCATTACATATAGGAATAAAAGGATGCTATCCATCATCGCCTTTAGGAAATATAAAAAAATAATGAAGTGGCATATAGGCAGGATGTATTTCTGATATTTGTTGAAATCCTTCTTTAAGTAATTGTAACACTACATCACGTTTCATCGGAAATAAATATGAAAATCCTTTTAAAAATTTTTTTAAATGATTGGCATATAAATTTTTGCAAAAAGTATCTTAACTGATGTTTCGAAACTGATTTTATTGTTCTTTGACACGATGAATTATTATTATTATTATTATTATTATTATTATTATAATTATTATTACCCGTTCTCCACCTCTAAGAAAAAATAATCTATCAATAATATATATAAATAAATAAATAAAATTACCCATTATAAAAATATTTTGATTGATTTACTTACTACTACGTACTATACTACTACTAATAATAATAGTAATAAAAATAATATAACAATAGTGATAAATCCAAATTACAAGAAAACTCTTGTAAAAATAAAATATTTATCATGTCCCAAAATAATAATAATAATAATAATAATAATAATAATAGTTTAAACAATTGGTAATTCACGTTCCTTAATTTTCTATATTGTATAATAATAAATAATAAATAAATAAATAAAATAAATAAAAAATAAAATAAAATAAAAAAAAAATAAAATAAAATCATACATGTACTTCATTCATTCAAAGATTCCAATGGATTTTAGTGACGATAAACATTCCTTTTAGTTTCATCAATTATTTAGTGTCTTTATTCTTATTCATCTCAGCTTCGTTATCTTTCCTTATTGTTGCCACCGATTATTATTATTGTCATTTTCATTTCTATCATTATAATTATTACTATCATTTATGTCTATAATGGTTTTCAAAGCAAATCTCATAATTTCAATAATGATATTAAATCTAATCGACAACGAATGTAAAATTAAATAAATTATTAATCGTGAATCGAACTGCTTTTTTCTATTTAATCATTATGGATAGATATTCCATCAATTCAATATTTATTCGAACGATCATTTATATTAATGTTATCTAATCTATACTTTGCAACAATCAATTTTCAATACGAAACTGGAAAACGCCATTGTTAAAGAAAAAAAATAAAAAAAAAATTCAAAAGAACACATTATATTTAAAATTACAATGTATAAAATCACTACTTATAATATTCATAGAATTTCTTTTTAAATTAAGAACTACGAACTTTTCAATCATTATAAACTTATAAAGCAACAAAGACATAAAGAAAACAACAACAACGTGGACCTCTTATAGAATAGCACGACGTCGGGGAATATTATTAAATTGTCGTATCAATGCTAATTATTTTTTTTTTTCGATTAAATGCCAATTACGTTCAGAAAATGCATTTAAATTTAAAAGTTATCCGAATAAATAAAAGATCAGAGCAAAAACAGAAAAAAACCAAATTCGGTATTTTTTTGAACGAATAATTCTTAACTACATTATTTATAACTTTATGTAATAATAATAATAAGACGACAGTAATTAGATGATCGCAGCCTGTAAAATTCAAATTTTTATTTGTTAAAAATATTGTGATTATTTTATAGGGAAGGAATTTATTCTGCTGAATTGAATAATTATAATAATAATAATAATGTAATGAAAATAATGATAATGATAATAGTAATAGTAATAAATCCAAATGTATTATGATAAAACTATAACTTCGCTTGACATTTGTTTTAGCTCGATTGCATGCTGACGGATTCGTTGACGGTAAAAAAATACAGTTTTAATGACCTTGAAGAGGATTATAATAAGTTATATTCAAACTATAAATAAGTTATTAAACTTATACTATATATTTTAATATAATTTACAATAATTTATTTATTTAATTTTATTTTATTTTTAAAGTTACACAAAAATTCGAGGAGCTTACGAAATGACTTTAGATATAATCCATGTTAGAGAATTTTATCTTGATTTCTGGATGCATTTTATATCATATTATTGGTAGAATAGCTTTATATAATTTTACGTTTAATCCCGAAGCAAAGAATCTTGATATCATTTCAAATGACGAA